TCGTCGGGGAGAATAAAAAAATTATATGTATTTTTTACATATTAGTAGACTCTAAAATCGATTAAATAAGCCTCTGAAACCCCTAAATTGTCAAAATTTTTAGGGGCTTCATCCCCAGGACCACTTTCGGAACCTTTTAATCGAAGCTCGACCACGCCCACTTTGCTTTTCCCCCAGTCAGGGACCTCGGCCCCCTCCGTTGGGCAAATCCTGGCGCCACCCCTGCCAGGTACCCATTTATAGTCCTGGGTAAAGAGAAGCAATGCAGATAATGTGCCTTGCCACAAGTGGAATGCACAGCGAGGGAATTAAAACCCTGACCTCAAGTTTGGGAAACCACACCGTTCCCACTGCTCCAAACCACTTCCACAAAAGGTACTTTCATTTAAGATTGATTGCATACTGTAGGTCTCTCAGTAAAGAGTGATTTTATTTAGGATTACTTTATTCCCAAATAATGTTGATTTCATAATGTAATTTTCAATCATAACTGTTTCAACTTAAACAATGCTACCTGTACCTAAATCGTATATAAACGTAAGAACCCAAATCACTTAGTATATTGGCTTGTATAAATATCAGCTTTCAGATAAAAACTAGAGTGAGAACGTGTTATAAATAATACCTTTCCTACACTCTTCGAATAAATTACACCTAAAGCTAGGCTCCGGAGAGTAAAATATTTTTATGTTGTACAAGTTACTGTACTGATTTTTCTAAAACCCAAAAGGGTGTATTGAAGAAATCCTCAGGAACAGTAAATGAAATACAGATTTTTGAATATTTAAAATCTAAGGAAAAATGGAGGTAACTACCCTTTTTTATACTTTTTGGCATACATATCAGTTTTTTTCCCACCGGAGGCTGGGCTTTACATTTCTAGCTAACAAATTTAGGGATTTTTAAAAGTAAAATGTCTGTAAATCATTAAAAGTTTTTTTTTTTGGGGGGGGGGGGTTCTGGGACTTACTGAATGTTGATAACTTACCATGTTTGTGGTTTTTTTTTTAGAGCAATTTAAAATGCTACTGCAAAGATTTTTTTTTTTATCTTAAAAAAAGAAAAGCCTGTATGTCTGATAATTATTTCAAAGAATAAGGAGCTTGGTGCCATGGGCCGACCGTGCCATTTTTATTGTGAGGGGTGTACTTTTTTGGGGGAAAATAGACAGTCAATCAGTTTATCAAGGTAAATATCCACTCAGACTAACATCACCCTTGATTCGTGTAATTTATTATGTGAAATGGGCCATAAAATGAAAGAAACTATTGAATTTTTGGGTGGCAGTACATCTTTAAGATTGATTTTATTACTATATTTTTTGTTGGAATTTGAGATTGGTTCAATTTAAGATAGTTTCCATATATGGATTGATCCATTTAAAGTTCTATCCTTACTATTAATGTTTATTGGTATGCAAATACATACCTGTGATTTGCCAATGTATGGGTGTGATATGACATCATCATTCCCATAATGAATGTGATATGACATTATTCCCGTATGTATGTGATATTACATCATCATGTCTACTGTATATATACATGTGATATGACATCATCATTCCCATAATGAATGTGATATGACATCATTCCAATATGTATGTGATATGACATCATCATTGCCATAATGGATGTGATATTACATCATCATGTCTATAATGTGATATGACATCATCATGCCTAAACATAGGAAATTCACACAAATTTGTCACAAAACATATGATAGAACTTAAGATCTACTTCATGCTATTTTGATATCTTAGTACAGTAATGTACCCAAATGGTTTACTTGCAGTGTTTTATTCTGAAGGAATAAAGATGGTAAAACAAAAAATTTAACAATTTGTTTTATTTACAGTACATTTCTGTTAGTGGCAAGACATTTGCTGTGCAAGTTGACTGTAATAAATTAGAGGTTCAATTACTTTTGTCTTGAAATTTACTTACTGGTTTCTCAATTGTAAATTGACTTTTGATATTATTTACAGGTCTCCCTCCAATTATAGACCATTTTTGGGACTGGGGTTTCCATGGTCTTAGGCTATAGCAGCTTTGGTCTCTAATTAGAATAATAAAGATAAAAGATATTTGTTAATATGGTACCACAGAAAAACAGTTTTTAGTTGGAGGGGTCTGTAATTAGAAGGAGACATGTACTTAGTAGCCAATATTTCACTGTCCAAAAATAGGAACGACTCCGAACAAATACTCTGCAACCCCTTTATTCAGGGGGTAGTCTGGTTTACCATACTATTATTACAAAAATGAGAAGTAAAAAGTAACACAAACACTGAAACTTTGATACAGTATATTCGTGCGCGGGATAAACGTTTCCTTTTTTCGGAACAAATCACGGAGAGAGGGCGCCAGAGATGTAAATAAAACAGGGACAAGCAAGCATGGCCGACGACGTGTCAGGGATCGTTGATGAAGACACCTCCAAATTAATACTTGAGCGGTTAAATGCTTTTGGTAAGTTCTTGAAGAATTGAAGTACATGGCACATCTTTAACGTGTACCATTTAGGCTAGGTACCCATGGGACATTGTTAAGCCCTCTCTTTACTTCAGACAGTTTACGCTGGTTAGGCCTAGGCTAGGCCCTCACATCCCCTCGACCAAGTAAAGTAGGCTTCTGGAAGCTAGGCCTAGTCTAGAACCGAAGTTTATGCATGAATAATGTATAGGCCTGGCTGTAGTAGGGATGCTAGTAAATGGTTGATCAACTATAGGCTGCACAGCCCCTGGATCATATGTATACAGGTTAGTTAGTTACTTATAAAATAATATTTGTTAATATTTTTCAATTTGAAATAGGTAAAAATTATGGATGAAAACAGTTATAATAGTAAGTGCAGGAACTCATGATATCTTCATAGTGTCGAGAGAGCAATGTAATGATTTAAACTAGTGATGATGACAGAATATTTCACCCATGTGTTTTTCTCTTGAATAGCCTGTGCTTCAGTTCAGTTCACCCTCCAATTCAGGACCAATTTTGACACTTGACAACCACACCCGTACGCAATTCAGCACAATGACACTGTGATTTTCAGACTGTATAGTAAGCCTGCGTAAGAAATATATCCTCCTCGCAAAATTTGACCTAGAAATCTGTCCACGCATTTCGGAAAATAAGGGCTGATTTCTGCGCATATTTTGCTGAAAATTAGGCTTCGACCAAATATTAATATGTGCAATTATGTAGCAATTACGATTCCGCATGCCTATTTTCCTAGTGATTTTCTGAGCAAATTTGAGCTGATTTTTTAGATATCCTCCGCGCAATTAAAAAACTTTACAGTATGGTGCGAGTTATGGGTTATTCTCTTAAATTTACCATTTGTAAACAGTGATCTCAAATTAGAGGTGTCTCTAAATGTAGGGTGAACTGTATTTATTTTGTTATTAATTTTGCTTTTATTAAATAGGAGATAGTTTCCTTGATGATGATTACAGAGAAAGAAAGAAAACAATCAAAAAGAAAAACACCAATGAAATAAATGAAAATGGAATGAAAAAGAAAAAGAGAAAAGTAAATTCAAGAACAAATGAAGTAACTGCTGACAGTGACAATGCAAATTCACAGAAAACCTACAAATTGTCTGATTTTGACAAAGAAATTGAAATTTTCAAACAATCAGAAGACTTAAAAAAGGAAGAAAAGGCATCAAAACGAAAAAGGAAAAAAAAGAAACCCAAGAAGGAAGTAGAAGTCGTCGTTTTCAATGATCCATCAAAGAGGAAAAAGAAACAGGTAAAGAGTCTCGTGGTGAATATCTTGGTGAAATGGGAGGGGTGGGGGGCTCGATTATTAAGTGATGGGGCACCATACATGCCAACACTTTGGTTTGATGACCTGACTTACAGCCAATTTTTGTTTTCATTTTTTCTCACATGCTCTCCCAGTTTACAAAGAAAATTGCATACATAGGCCTAGGTGTACTAAATCTTAATTGTTTTTTATTTGGCAATAAAATACTATGAAAAAACCTCAATATTATTAGGTTACCTTTCAATATTTTGCTCGGCAAAACTACAGCATAGCCTCTTCGTGAGTGGTGCAAAGTCATGCTGGCTAAATTGTATATATACACTGGCTGGATCATTATTACAAGGTGTTTAGTCAGTATAGACTATAAGCTTAATAATCATAAGATTTACCCTTATGATACAATAAATAGCTAAAGCTTCCAAGGTGTTACACCCCCCTTAACCCCCATGGAGAGACCCCCTCACCCACAGGCCAAGACCCTGGGTGGCACTTCGCGCCAAATTCTCCCGTTTTTTTTATATTCAAATTCTGGCATGTATGGGGCACTAGCTCACTAAATAAGGTGATTTGTGGTGAAGTTTATCTACTTGAGTGTGATTTTTTTTGCTTCACACACATTTATTACATGGTAATGCGAAAGCGAAATGTATGATATGATAATATACAGCCATTAACAAGAGATAAAAATTAGCATAACTGCTAACAAAAGGCACAAATAATATATTTACCAAAAGCATCTATGCAGGACAACAAATACATACAATGTATTGGGAGATAAGGTGGCGACAGATGAGAAAAAAAACCAGGGTTTTTTAACTGATCAAAAATGCAATTTTAAATTTACTATCACAGTATTTTAAATTATTATTATTGGTGATGGTGGTCCTTCCTTCATGTCTGTTACATGCTGTGTTGCATGCATTTTTACGAGTGTGTTTCGTGTGGTTACATAATTTGTGCAATTTATATTACATGATCAATGTATAGTGCGACAGAAAATCAGAATGAAGGTTTCCGAATTTTATAATTTATATTGACATTTTTTTAATGTAGGAAGAAGAGAAAATTGTTGATGATTCCAGGGATGGAATTATGAGTTTAAAAAAGGCTAAAATTGATGTTCATCAATTTGGTCTTGGTGGCTTTACATATGAAGATAAAGAAAAGATGGAAATGCAGAGAGCCATTAGACTTGGGGCACGGGTAAGCCATTACTGATCAAATTGCTAAAATTTATAGGTAATTTTTTGGGATCTTCATGGTTTAAAAAAAAAGCTGACCCTTGAATTTTGGGATTTTATGTCGGACTTGGCAACACAAAGTAGTTTTTTTAGCGTACCAATGATGAAATTGACAGGTCCCAAGTTAGAAAAACCCATTTCCTGGAGATTCGTTTAATGACATTGGGGGTGCTATATATTCCATGAGGAAAAAGTGTAGGTACCAAACGAAGAGCCATGCCCACCTCAGGCCCACAGTGATTGGTGATCACATTTTTCTAGAATAGGCACCTTTAGTACCCGGAAATGGCACTGTCAAGACTGCAAAAAATAATCGGCAACCAAAGTTTAGGCCTAAATTAAACAAAAAGATTTGTTTTTTGTTGAATTTACGGGAGATAAGTGAATTTCCGGGAGATTTTTGCTTGTTTGCGAGAGACCATACCGATTTCCGGGAGACTCCTGTTACTTCCGGGAGGCTTGGGAGCCCTGCATTGACATTTTCATCACAGGTAAATAGTACTACTGTAGTAATGTTGATTACCATTTGTTTACATTTATACAGCCTCTAAAGAAAGAATATATGAATTATAAGGAACTCATTAAAAAGCAAAAAGAGCAACGAGAGGCTGATGCCAAACAGAAGGAAATTGTAAGTAACTTTGATAGTTATTTAGTTATTATTACTTAACAGATTGAAATCTTATGGCAGTTACATATTAAGGAAGAGTTAAATATTATTTACTTTACTTGTACTGTATAATGTAATAACATTCGTAAATTAATATAAATATTCTCTTTCACAGAACCGCAAGTTAGGCATCAAAGTGAGCAAGAAACCAGAGAAGATAGTCCTAAAGTGAGAAAATATTTTATATTCTGCCAGTGGCGTATCTAGGGGTAAAGGGGGTGCTGGAAAAGTGGGAGGGGTCAATGATAAAGTGAGCGCAAACTAGCTGGCAAAACAAGCTGGTGGTATGAGTTGACTTTTTAACCAACTTAGCGTAAACCATTTTTTTCTTTAAAATTTCTAGTGGATGGGTGAGTCGACGGGGGGTGTGCGCCACCCCCCCCCCCCATACCCATCTCTAGATACACCAATGTAAGATAATCTGAGTAAGATATCTGTAGATCATCTAAAATCTTTCTTTGACATTTTTCTTCTTTTTTTTTAACTTGGCTAAAGGAGGGATCGGCTCGGCCCCCAATAAATCCGCTCCTGGTCATGACATCAAAGAAAATTTGATAGTAGGGAACTTGCGATTGCACAAATACAGTAGGACGTGGAATGTAATGATATCACTAAAAGTCATCTGCAACTTTCAATTTAGCCAAATCAACGTATGCAGAGATTAGGACGATCACGCACAAGTGATTTCCGTTCTAGTGTTGCATCGTCACACAAATCAAAAGCTCCAAAAGTCGACAGAGTTTAACAATTCAGTTTTTAACTTGGTTATTTATTATTGACTTTTCTTTCTATATGCAGGCACAAAGGCTTCTGGGTTGATCCTACACAACAGCGAGGTGTTTATATTGATGGACAAGTTGGCAAATTTAGACG